ACTCTTGTGGGACACTCTTGTAGGACACTCTTGTGGGACACTCTTGTGGGACACTCTTGTAGGACACTCTTGTAGGAAACTCTTGTGGGGCACTCTTATAGGACACTCTTGTGGAACACTCTTGTGGGACACTCTTGTAGGACACTCTTGTGGGACACTCTCGTAGGACACTCTTGTGAGACACTCTTGTAGGACACTCTTGTGGGACACTCTTGTGAGACACTCTTGTGGGACACTCTTGTGGGACACTGTTATAGGACACTCTTGTAGGAAACTCTTGTGGGACACTCTTGTAAGACACTCTTGTGGGGCACTCTTATAGGACACTCTTGTGGGTCACTCTTGTAGGAAACTCTTGTGGGACACTCTTGTAGGACACTCTTGTGGGACACTCATATAGGCCACTGTTGTGGAAAACTCTTGTGGGACAATCTTGTAGGACACTCTTGTGGGTCACTCTTGTAGGAAACTCTTGCGGGGCACTGTTTCGGGACACTCTTGTAGGACACTCTTGCGGGACACTCTTCTGGGACACTCTTGTGGGACACTCTTGTAGGACACTCTTGTAGGAAACTCTTGGGGGGGACTGTTTTGGGACACTCTTGTAGGACACTCTTGCGGGACACTCTTGTAGGACACTCTTGTGGGACACTCTTGTAGGACACTCTTGCGGGCCACTCTTACGGGGCACTCTTGTGGGACACTCTTGTGGGACACTCTTGTGGGGCACTCTTGTGTGTCACTCTTATGGGACACTCTCTTGCGAGACACTCTTGTAGGACACTCTTGTGGGTCACTCTTACACGACACTCTTGTAGGACACTCTTTGTGGGACACTCTCAAAAGCACTCTTGTGGGTCACTCTTATGGGACACTCTTGTCGGACATTCTTGTGGGACAGTCTTGTGACACACTCTTGTAGGACACTCTTGTGGGTCACTCTTACAGGACACTCTTGTGGGACACTCTTGTAGGACACTCTTGTAGGACACTCTTGTGGGACACTCTTGTGGGACACTCTTGTGTGACACTCTTGTAGGAAACTCTTGTGGGACACTCTTGTAGGACACTCTTGTGGGGCACTCTTATAGGACACTCTTGTGGGACACTCTTAAGGGACACTCTTGTGAGACACTCTTGTGGGACACGGTTGCGGGACACTCTTGTGGAACACTCTTGTGGGACACTCTTGTGGGACACTCGTGTCGCGACACGGTCTGCCCACACACTAGAAGCAGTCACGCGAGCGTTTCGTACGAGACTTCCTCCAAAAGTCACGCTTCGAGGCTGCAACACGAGCGTTTCGTACGAGACTTCCTCCTAAAGTCACGCGTCAAGTCTCCAAAACGGAGCGTTTCGTACGAGACCTCCTCCAAAAGTCACACGTCAAGTCTCCAAAACGAGCGTTTCGTACGAGACTTCCTCCAAAAGTCACGTGTCAACTCTCCAAAACGAGCGTTTCGTACGAGACTTCCTCAAAAACTCACGTGTCAAAGTCTCCAAAACGAGCGTTTCGTACGAGACTTCCTCCAAAAGTCAAGCGGAAACACCCATCGGAGCACACACATCACGCAGCCCTGCCAAGCAGTTTCGCGATTCCAGCCCCTCCAAACAACACCCGCTCACACGCCAATCCCAATGAGACAACGACAGTCACCTCTACCACAACTCACAACCTCACGATTCCCTGCGCCTGCCACGCATCTTTCCGCGTCCACACGTCTAACGCGCACAAAGTACTGCGCCTGCCACGCAATGTCACCTCCGTCACACCTCGCAACCTCAGGATTCCCTGCGCCTGCCACGAAAATCACACTTCCATGCCTCAAAACCCGCACAAAGTACTGCGCCTGCCGCGAAAAGTGACAATATCATCTCATGTGAGCTTCAACAAAATTCGCACCACACCACACGTTTGGAATGATTTCGATCCGTTCTGAGCACACTCCCATCCACCAAAATCGCCATTTCAGCTGAGACTTGTCACGAAAACAGAGCTTCGATGCCACATCCTGAAACGCAAATCCCAATGGCACGGCCACATCCAACACCCCAAAAACACGACTCTCCAAATGCTAATCCCAATGGAACTGCGTAGCAAACTGAGGATCTCACAAAACGCTGCGCCTGTGCAGCGAAATGCATCACGCTTCTTGCGCGACATGTCATTTTCATGCAAATCACAATGGAATAGCGTCGCAAACTGACACGTGACACATCCATGAAAAGTCACTTGCAAAAGCTTCCCCCAATGGCAGCGCCTTAGCGCTCTACTGCGAACGGTTGCGAACGGTTGCGAACGGTTGGCGGACGGTTGCCAACGGTTGCGAACATAGAAGCAACGGGTCGCGAACAAAGCTCTACCCCCAGACCCCCAAGAGTTAAACGAGAACCCTTCGCTACGCATTCGGGAAAGAGAAAAACAAAAACAAATAAGAACATTGGATACACATAAAGATGCACAGCCACACAAACAAATAGACAAATAGCTATTTAGATAGGTAGGCAGATTGACAAAGCGATAACAAAAAACAATATTGTTGATAGACAAATAGATAGACAGATCGATTGATCGATAGGCACGAGGAAAGATACACAAATATATATATATATATATATGCAAAGATAGACAGGCAAATAAGAAGACAGTGGCTATGGCTAAAGCCTTTCCTTAGAAAAGTGCAAAAGTGATGAGAAGGAAACATACAGAAAAGGGAAGGTTGGTACAAAGCCTACTGTGTATTCGGAGCCAGCTTCTAGGCTTCTGATTCCTCAAAGGCAACCTGGACAAATCCCAAGAAGGCAGCTAGATGCAAAAATAATTGCCAGTGAACACAGTTGGAAATGAATGTCAACATAAGTAGTAATGTGCTGTGAACATAAGTGACAAACTCTGTGTGTTGCTCAGTACTGGCAATCTAATGCTTTGTTTGCAGGCTGAAAAGTTTTTGGATCTTGGTCCCTGATGGTTGCAAAAGCAGTGGCAATTCCCACAAAATGCAGAAGTGCAAAAGTATGTCAATTGGACAAGTAAGTCAACACCTGCAGGAAAAAGTAATCCGACAGCAAACACATGAAAAAGTAATGCCTTTCATGTTGCTTCTGTCTTCAGAGCATTTTGCAGCTAAATCTTAAGAGTTGACTTCTAGATAATTTAACAAGCTACTGTGTATATATATATATATATAAACAAACTCTGATTTGTACATTGTCTATAAACGATAAGGACAATTGAAATTGTACCTCCTTCAAACCGGTCTTAACTGATCGGTGGGGTACCGAGGTCATTCGCTCTATGGTGGACCAGGGGTCCAGGTTTTTCACAACCCATCTACCTTCTCAGGTGATTGGAGAGACGCTTATGTAGGTCTGGTGGGTCCAAGCACCTTCTGAGAATGTACTTGGATCCCTAGGCGATAAATGATCAAACATCAAAAAGCAGCTTCATCAAAGTGACCTTTGTGGAGACATGTGGTGTCATGTGGTGTCCAACAACAACAAATCACCTGATTCCTCTGTTGCCTGTGATGTCACGGCCTCTGACTGCCCACGACCATCCACCCCAACAAAACGACCCGGGCTCGCAGATTTGCACCTGGATTAGTAGTAGCAAGGGCATCGCTACTAGTAGCTCCTGGGACTACTATGAGTAGCAAGAAGTTACTACTAACATGGCCACCTCACTAGTAGCTCCTGGCATTACTGTTAGTAGCAAGAAGCTAGTAGTAACAAGGGCATCGCTACTAGTGGCTCCTGGCACTACTGTTAGTAGCAAGAAGCTACTAGTAACAAGGGCATCGCTACTAGTAGCTCCTGGCACTAGCAAAAAGCGACTAGTAACAAGGGCATCGCTGCTAGTAGCTCCTGGCATTGCTGGTAGTAGCAAAACGAAGGGACCTCCTTGCTTGACATGACAGCTGAGGTTTGCTTCACGTGGCTCAGCTGGAGATCGAAAAGCACGACTTTCACTGGTCACGAGCCCGACCGGTTACGTGGGATGTTTTCGTGGGGAGGTGTCCAACCCCCCTTGGTCCTATCCTACGCTCCCCATCCCAAAGGTGACCTGCGACCCAGTGAACTCCGGAGGATGGCGATGTTTGTAGTTGAACGACGGCAGTTCCTGCCGAGCGACTCCGGGATCAGCATCCTCATCACTGAAGAGGTGTCCACAGGGCTGTAGTCATAAAGACCTCTGGAACCAGGAACTCCCACCCTCCTCTTGTGGTGGGCAATGATTGGACCGTGAGAATCCTTAGAGCCTCGATATGGGATTCCATTCATCAGGGTCCGGACCCTGAAAACCATGTAACCTTGAGAGAGCCCGGGTTCGTAGGGCACACAAAAACGGAGGTCTTCACTGGTGACCTGTTGGAGGGTGGTGCTAACAATCTATTGAAGTGCTTTTTTACTGTCCTCCAGCATTGCAGTGGTGTGCATGGTCAGCCCCCAACAAAGTGACTGCATCAAATGAATCAAACAGGGACTACCAAAACAAGACGGTCTTGCGGAGATGAATTGGGCTCTAAGAAAATGCGAAAGCTAAAAAGCGCTGCTTTTTGCTGCGTGCGCTTGATCAAGCTGCAGTTAACACCGAACATGCCACTAGACACCGCTGAACATCAACTTTCACATTGGAAAGGAAGGGTGTTGGCTGTTCGGTGCCGAGCGAATTCGTTGGCGCGGCCAACGGCAAAAGTCTCACGTGGCGCTGCCACTGACTTGTCCTGGCCCTGCCAGTTGCTATTCTGGCTCCGCCATGAAGTGTTTTGACTTGGCGCTGCCATAGTCTTAGAACGGATCTTCCGCCTTTCACGTTGTCCCTTTCTTAGCTGCCTGCGGTGTTCCTCAATCTCGCGTTCCTCTGGCGTCTCTTTGAGACTGATGGTCTTCTTCCGCAAATACTCCTCCCACAGCACGTTCTTCATAGGTTTTGTAAGTCCATCAGCGTGCTGTCGATGGGTTGGTACCCAAAACAACCTGTAAATCTGCTGCTCCAAGAGGTCCTTCGCGACAAGCAGATCTAACATGGTTTGTCTTTCAGCCGGAATTTGACCAGTTGCTCCAAGATGATCGAAAAGAGACTTCGCATCTGTCACGATGCCACCTCCGACACGAAGCTTCTCACGCCAGTCGGAGCCAACTTTGAAAACGCCATGCAACATCATGTCCGCAATCAGGCGAATGTACAAATGCCTGTCCACCGCCACACTGAGCGAGCATGACTCTGCTGCCATGGAACTTCGAACAACTCTGCTGCTTTTGTTGGTCGTGTAGTCGATTGCTGCAGCTGGCTGTGGTCCATGAATGACATCTTCATTGGACAAAAAGTGAATCGCACCAAGTTGCGATTTGCCATCCTTCTCCTTGCCCAAGCTGGCGTCAAAGTAGGTCACCAAAAACAACTTGCCACGGATCCGAGGGTACGGCAGAACAGATCTGCCTTGGCGAGCTTCTTCTTTGCATTCTTCAAAAAGCTGAAGGGCCGCCTTATAGTCACCCATCGTGGCTTTTGTTGCATACTGCGCCAGCTTGCTCGTCTTGTACAAAAGCTGCGGCATTGACTGCTGGCCAGGCCATCGCAATCTCATGACCAACTGTCGATATGCCGTGAGCTGCTGGGCATCAAGTGGCTTGTCATCATTCTTGGGCTCCAGCTTCATGCTTGGAAGGGCGATCTTGGCGATGTAGTTTGACATATCGTCAAAAAGTTCTTCACCCTTTTGCTTGAGGTCCACGCCTAGGAAGGTCAAAGGAATCGACTTCCATTCTTTGATCGTGAACATCTTGTTGATGTCACTCTTCAACTTCTGAAAGCGTGGATCACCTTCATCGCCAAACAAGAGCCCATCATCAACATGCAAGCTGAGAATGCTCCAGGCTTTGTTGCCTTCCGCGGCCACGAAACTGCTCTTGCTAATGGGCAGTTCTTCCAGAGGTGTGGTCGTGAGCAGCTTGCTAGCACGCAAGTACCAAAGCCTTGGGCTTTCAACCAAGCCGTACGCAGATCGGAGGATCTTCATCAATTCTCCAGCTTTCACCGGAGGCTCTCCCTCAACTGCTGGTAGACCTTCTTCTGGAGCTCTGACATAGACGTCTCTGGTGAGGTTCTCACCTGAAAGGAATGCCGTGGTGACATCAAATGACCATCCTTTCCATCCATTCCGAACCGCCACAGCTTTTGACGTCCGAACTGCCTGCAGCGTTGCTGTAGGACTGTCGCTCCTGAAGTGACCCAATCCAGGATCTCGGTGTCCAGGAACTACCAGACGGGATTTCGCCACCAACGGTGCCAGGAGTTGAGTCTGCTTGTTGACTCGCACCATTCGCAAAGGAGCTTTGAAAATGAGGTGCCTGGGAATCTTTGCTTCCTCCTCCTTTGACAACCGCTTGATGACTTTATTGCGGACCCACTGCTGCCACTCTTTGGCATCTGCTTTGAGGAACTCTGCACGCTCCTTCTCATCAAAGAACTTTGGATCCAATTCCTTGCCGCTCTGCTTGAGCTTAAGGAGCATCACCTCTGCCAGCAGGTGATCATGCAGATCTTCCAGCCAAAGATGCTCAAACTGTCGTCGCTCCTCCTCTTTCAAATTGGCCTCATAGATCCCATCAGGAAGCTGGATGTAGGTTTTCTGCTCTGTTGGCGGTGGCTCATTCTTCAAAAAGAAAGTCATTCCTCGCCATGGAAAAGATGACCTCCGCCGGGGATGCTTTGCAGCTTCCTCTTGATCTTCTTCCACCATGAAGATGTTGTCCGGATCCTTGCCCATCAAAATTGTCACCCGAGCTCGCTTGCGAGGTGGCTTCATGAACCGTTTTCGGGGAAAGCGATGTAGCCTCGCAGCTGTGATCGGCAATCCAGTGAGTTGCCTGAGCAGTTCCACTTCATGGCGGGTGATCCATTCGTTGGCAGGTCCTTCTGAAACTGTGGAAGCGAGCACGTGCATGAACAAAGCTGTGCTCGGTCTGGCCCTCTTCAAGGGGAGTTCTGAAGTGGTGGATCCTTGCAGTTTCCGCTTAATGCTGAAAGGAACATCATCTGTGAGACGCTGTCTTCGGGCCTCTGTAGGCAATTGCTCCCAATCTGGTGGATGATCAGGACGTGGTGAATCTGCCGGCGAAGTCGGTGAATAGTCGGATAGACCACCTGAATCATCAATCGGCACATCGACACCAGATGTAGGGGCAGGTTCCAATGGTGGCTCAGCCACGGATACTGGTGGTGGCTCAGCCACATCTGGAGGTGCGTCCTCCAAAGCCAGGCGCCGCCTTACGACACGCGGTGCCGGTTCCAATGGCGCTGCCGCGGGTTGAGCAGGTAGAGGAGCACGAGGTGGTTCTTCTCGATGTAGTGGAGGTTCAACTGCCGCTGGCAACTCCTTCCTCTTCTTCTGCCGTGGTAGTTGTGACATCTGAGGTCGCTGATTCAGCAGCCTTCGAACCGCTTTTGTTCCCCTCAAGATGTTCTTTGCTCTCAGCCTCTGTGGATCTTCGGGAGGACGAGGTTCTCTCTTCTTTCGAGGTCTCGGAGGCGGTGGTTTTGCTCGAGTAGATGTTAGACCTCGTTGGATCTCTCAAAAGCTCTTGGATGTCCAGGACATCTTCCTTCACCGGTTCCGAAAGTGCTAGCTCCTCTGGAGTTGCAAGCCTCATGTTCTCCTCAGCTAGTAGGAGTAGTCGTCCTCTCCAACTCACAAAGTATCTTTTCTGTTGCTCTTGAACCAACACTGTAGCCGGACCACGCCATTGGCCACTGTCACGGTTGTAGCGCTTGAGCTGCGGCACCCAAAAGTAAATCTGAGCACCTGACACGAATGGTCCTGTGGCCGTGGGTGGCTTGCGTAGCAATGTCCTCCTGAGCTTGTCACGGACATCTTGACGAATAAGAGCCACGCGAGCTGTTGTGCGCATCTTGTGTGCACGAGCCACCTCACTGTCTGCAGATAGGCCTTGAACGAAGCTCATTCCAACATCATCTGCAGTCAAGCTCGGCCATTTGTGCTCAACGCCAAACACCCTTTGATTTGGGGTGTAACCGTCTTTGGTCAAGGTAGCATTCTTTGCCATCACTGCACAGGACAAAGCTTTCTTCATTTGGGTATAGCCAGTGATGCCGTGCTCATCAACAATCGCCTGAAACATGACTCCCAGTGTGGCTCCGTGACGCTCTCCCGCGCTCAACTGCCATGCTGCATGTGCTCCTGTCACCTTTGAAGGAATCGCTAGATCTTCTAGGAGGGCATGGAACGACTGTTCGAATTCTCCTCCTTGATCATGGGTGACTTGAGCGGGGCATCCATAGAGCGCTATCCAGTGTCGCAAGAATTTCTCTGCCACATAGTCGGAGCGGCGGTTCTTGAGCATGATCGCATCGTGCTTGATGGTACCTAAGTCCAGAATGCTCAAGCAAACATACTTTTTCTTTCTGGAGTCGTACAGGTACTTCAGGTCCAAATGAAGGTGCACGTTGAAGCCAAATGGTCTCGTGGATACAGTTGAAGGCTTCGGGTGTCTTGGTGCTTGTCGTGCAGCACAAACTGAGCAATGAAACTTGCTGGCATACCTCAATGCATCCTGGCTGGCACCGCCCAACTTCAACATACGAGTCAAAGAAGCACGAGTTGGGTGTCCCAGCTGCCTGTGAGCAAATTCAACAGCTTTGCGAGTTTCTGCACTTACTGGATGACGTTCATCGTCCTCTGGGCCTTGATGCTCAGTGCCATGGAAACGAAGGGTGTCATCAAGTTGAGCTTCTTGGCGACTCTTCTGCTCCTCAATGTAGTCTTCACCAGCCATCCAATCGGGGACCGTGTCTTCAATCTCATAGTCCTCGGTGAAGGCCTCATTGGTTTTGTGAGTCAGCCAGGCTTCAGCCCCTTTCAAAAGTGCAGTGCAAAGCTCTTTGGGGTAACCACCAGCAAACTCTGCCAGTGATGCCCATTGACCTGTCTTGGACTTGTAGCCGCCTTCAATGATGTGGTGTTCGTGATCACCTGGGCACATCTTGTTTCTGAGCTCGGTCAGAGCACCATCTTCTCCAGCGATAATGGTGCGCTTCCTCATAGGCATGTGGTTGTTCGGATGTGCTGGGCCAACCTGGCATTGATCAAACTGAACATGTGCCAAACCATCGAAGGCCTCCTCAATCTCTGGAGTCTTCCAAGCCTTGGACGTGGCTGGATTCTCACCA